TCTTTGTAGATTATTAAAGATGCCCTGCATAACATTAGTTGAGGGTCTGCTACTTACTTGCCACCATGGAAATGTTATTTGTCTGAAATGTTCCACAGTATAGATTAGACTTATCTAGTACAAGGAAAAGAAGCAGGTTACAGCACTACGTTACGTTACAGTTCAGATCTGTGGAGAGTCACCCCTATTCACAGAAGAAATTATTGTATTTTTGAACAATAGAAACACCCACATTGAGTAAATGCTAGATGGAAATGTTTAATGTCACAACATGGAACATTCCATGACAAGTAGGTAGCAAACTCTACACTTGAAAAGTTGAGCAGTTCACCTTTAAATTTTGTGTCATAGTCAGAACATATGGATATATTATGAATACTTGACCTCTGAATTATTTTTGAGTCCCACAAAATAATTTCTACTGGTTTTCCGAGTGTGTAGCTCAGAGTAAAGAAGAGAACAAGCCCAAAATGAGTCTAGTAACTATAGAGCAATAATCACTATTTTGTATTCCACGTACAGAAAAGTATATATAAAACACAGGTATATAACATAGTTTGAGCACTTGTGATCAGTGCACATCCATCCCTCTTTCTCTGGACTCTGTTGGATAGTGGTGCTCTGAGTGTCCCTGGGGCGGCCTGCAGACTGGCTCATTACAGTGTTTCTGCATTCATTGTCTTGTTATGCTTTTGCAGAGCCAACGCACTTTCAAGCTTCCTCTGACTAATGCTCTCTCAGAAAGCATACCTCAGTGGCAGCAAAGGAGCTGTGCTAATGATAGTGATGCGTTTGTGTGTATCTTTGTGTGTGTATTAAATTTAGAAAGCAGAAGAAAACAGCATAAAAATAAGGACTGCTGCAAAGTAATGGCGCCAGTTTTTCTCATACTTATCCAAACATCAGCATTATATGCAGATGTGTAAAAGATGACCTCCTATTTCTTTTCTTTATTTCTTATCAAAGCCACGCACACAGTGTTGACAGTGACAGATCTCTCTACACTTTTGTTTCCATTTGAAGAATGGCTATTTTAATTCATAAATACTTTTGTGTTATTAAATTACAGACAATGAAATACTGGGTGTATTTCTCCACTGTTTGTTTTGGTCAGAATGCCATCAGTCATTACACTCAGTGGCACAGATGGTGAATAAAATACACTGCTAAAAAAAAAAAATTAAAGGAACACTATGAAAACCCATCAGATCTCAATGTGAAAAAAAAAATGTGGATATCTATACAAATATGGACAGGGCAATGTGTTAGGAACAAAAGGCCACCTCTTTTAATGGAAATTAACATTAAGTGCACTAGTGTGGCAGCAATGAGACAACCCCTAAAACGGGACTGGTATTGGACGTGGAGGTCATTTCAGAATCCTACAGAAGTTTGTCCAACTCCTCCAGGATGGCACATCCAGACATGTCATTGCAAGAAGATTTAATGTGTCTCCCAACACAATCTCCAGAACATAGAGGAAATTTCAGGAGACAGGCCATTATTCTAGGAGAGCTGGACAGAGCCGTAGAAGGTCCTCAACTCATCAGCAGGACCCATCTGCTCCTTTGTGTAAGGAGGAACAGGTTAAGCACTGCCTGTGCCCTACAGAATGACCTCCAGCAGGCCACTGATGTGAATGTCTTTGCCTAAACAATCAGAAACAAATTTCATGAGGGTGGCATGTCCTGGAGTGGGCCCTGTGCTCAGCGCCCAGCACCATGGAGCTCCTCTTGCATTTACTAGACGACACCAGAATTGGTAAGTCCGCCACTGGTGCCCTGTGCTTTTCACAGATGAGAGCAAGTTCACCCTGTGACAGACATGAGACAGACATGAGACAGACCTCTACCATCTAGACAATGGCAGTCTGACTGCCATTATGTATCGGATGATATCCTTGAACCCATTGTCAGACCCTACACTAGTGCAGTTGGTCCTGGGTTCCTCCAGATGCATGACAATGCTCTCCCTCATGTGGTGAGAGTATCCTGGCAGTACCTGCAGGTTGAAGAGACTGAGACAACTGAATATACATGGGCAACTGAATGGACATTGCACTGCACTGTCCATATGTATATTGACAACCAACTTTTTTCATACTGAGATCAGAAGTGTTCCTTAATTTTTTTCAACAGTATATACATTAAGAAACATGAAAACCCCTGTGAAAAAGAACACTTTACTCTAAAGTACCTTTCTTGGACATATAAGAATAGCTTTGAGTAGATTTGTACAGTTTGTTCTTCAAGACAGTAACCTGGCTCACACCAGATTGATAAGTGTATCACTTGGAATTGAGTTCTACACATTATCCATCTGGAATGGCTCTCACTGAAAGTGTTCAGAAAAAGGAGGGACTTGCAGCAGAATGCCTCGAGCTGATTGAGCGACCACCATGAAGTGCCCATCCACCATAGTTTCTTTTTAACCAATCACTTCAAACCTGTCAAAATGATGTATCCAACTTGCTGGATGATCTTGCACTCTTATACGAAGGACCAGCACTCATACCTGAACCTGTTACCAGTCTCTTAACCTGCATATAGATGACAGATACATTCTCTGTATATGGACAGGCCATTCCTCATGTAAAAGAGCCTCAGAACCTCCAGGCGTCATTCACTGAGCTGCACAGGCTGCACTAGCACTGATTCATAATTGTTTGCTGGTGTTAGAGTTTATGCACTGACCACTCAGATCAGAGACAGTCCTTTTAGGTTTAAGCCAACTGGCTTTCAGCCTTGAAACTGACAATTCAAATGAGAGACAAAACAATTAATTATAACAAAAGCAAGTTGGGCATGAAGTCCAGTGTGTTTGTAAAGAACAACAACATTAATATCACAACTGTTACCAGCAACTTGTGTCAGGGGATACAGTCATGTAAATAAAAATGATACATACGCTCCTGTTAAATGTGAAATGATCATTTATCTCATTTACAGAATGGCTACAGAAGTACTTTCAAAGCATGATATAGTCATCAGTGCATTTTTATTAATTTATCTGCACTGAATAATACATGTATCTCACTTAATTAACTTCATTAATGAAATGTACATTTACAAAACAAATTCATCACAGTAAGTACTATGAGTAAGTATGATGGGAGTTGGGGTCACTTATTTTGTGTGTAAGTTGTAAGTTATTTATGATATGGTTGGAAAAAAATGTTTGGTTGCTACGGTTATATAATAGCTCTGTATGTGTGTGTAATAATAGGATGTACATAATGGGACTAATGCATATTCTTGAATTATTGTCTTTATGTCGATATTTTAATAGTAATTTAAGTAATCACTCAAATGCTATAGATGCTGCAATGGCAGGCTGCTGGGCTTTTCTAGTAAAGTGCACAATTATAGACAATCAAAATATTATTATTAGCCAGTGACACACATCAGAGATCTTGTTTTTTTGCTGCTAAGTGTCTCAGACATTGATGCTCTGTTGGGAAAAGAGACAAAGTTGCTATTGGAATCCGTTTACAGTAGCAGTACAAGCTACCTGCAGAGAGGAGTGAGAGGAGGGGGGCAGGGTGTTGACAGACTGGGATATCCTCGGGGAGTTTGTGTCTCTTCACACTCATAACGGATGACAGTCTGAGCCAGAAATCAACACTTCCCCAGAGAATGCATGAGCCCCCGACACACATCTAACCCCATTAGTTCTCACAACAGCTCCGTGTGGTGCTGCGCCTGCATTGTGCTCTGTGGAGATGATATATGCAATTGTAACTTCTGTGTTTTATATTGAAAGTCAGTGTGACATTGTGTGCAATGCCCCACTTAAATTTTTCTCAAATAAGGAATGCACTTTTATTTCTAAGTTTTTACACTATATTTGTATTTATGTTTTGAGACACCATAATGCTTCAGGTTTCATCAGTGGTCATCTCATCATCTCTGTTTTTGTGATCAAGACGTTTCAGCTCCCATGCAGAAGACATTTTCAATTGATAGAACTGGCTTGAAGCACTGGGAATTTATCCTTCTCTCAGTAACTAAGTCCAACCTCAAAAGGCAGTTTAGAGTGAAACTGCCCTGAGCTTGTTTACAGCTAATATCATTATGGGTCTTTATGTCTCTGTTGGCTCTCTCACACCGTCACAGGTCTATCAATTGAAACTGGCCAGATAACCACCAATGAAATCTTCGCTACATAATATGTATGTTTTATTGTTTTTCCAGTAATAATAAAAAAACAAAACACAACACTTATATCTAAACACAATGTGAAACACCACAGTAGAAAGAAGAATCAAATAAATATAAAATGAAATACAATATTAGGACCTTTCATATAATCTTTAAGTAGTCCTGCACCACAATCATCATCTAGCATGAACAAGACCACTCATTAATTGAACAGTGACGACCGGTCAATAACACTCAGCTGAACTGGTCTGAATGTGTTGGCTGAGTGAGAATGGCAGCCAAGTTTCTGTAAGTTAGCCTGAGGGTAGCTGTGGCTAGATGTAGTTAAGATTCTTTCTCACACAACATGAAATGCATGGAGAATGGATTTATATATGGTCAGTTCCTGTTCTTCTCCATAAACCACAGCCTCACTTCTGAGCGAAAGGGTGGGACAAGCCCCTCCCTCTGTACTTCAAAGAGTATTTTTGATGGGTGACACGGTGCATTTGTCACTCACCCTCTGCTAATGAACACCTCGTTATGCAGCACCTCGTTAGGTTATTTGATGACAGATAAATCCTTCACTGACGGAGGGACTTTGTTGCATCACTTTCACTGAAGTGAAGTGAGCAGAGAAAGCACAGCAGCTCCTGGCTTCATGATTGTAAACATCATCTTTATAACGCCTTCTGTAAACACAACCCTCCTTGGGAAAAACGCTGCCAAACTCAAAAAACATATCGCTGAGGGAATATTGTGTTTTTCCTGCTGTCCTATTTTCTTGTACTCATGAATATATTTTCATGTGAATGTACCCACAAATATCCCAGAAGTAATGAGCTCTCTGTGTATTTGCAGATATGTGACAAGGAATGGCACTACTATGTAATCAACGTGGAGTTCCCAGCCGTGACGCTGTTTGTGGATGGCGTGACCTTTGAACCCTACCTGGTGACAGACGACTGGCCCATCCACGCTTCAAACATTGACACACAGCTGACAGTGGGCGCCTGCTGGCAGGGTGTGTATGCTGTGTTTCTGTAGTTCCACAGTAATGAGGCCTCAATAACAGGGGCTGTATACATGTGTGATACATGTGTGACAGCTGTGGCTCTGGTTTGATGTTTGTGTTTGCTGCAGAAATGACAAGGAGCAGTGCGGCAACAGGAAAGCAACACATATTCTATATACTTTTAGAGGGTTATATAAAGAAATGATTAATTATGCATTACAATTACAATTTATTGACAACAGGGCATAGCATAGCAACTATTCAGATGTGACATTTCTTTTGACAATTACATATTTTTTTTATACCTACATATACAGTATATATATATATATATATATATATATATATATATATATATATATATATATATATATATATATATATATATATATATAATATATATATATATATATATATATATATATATATATATATATATATATATTATATATATATATATATATATATATATATATATATATATATATATATATATACACAGTGTATATAGTAGACCCTTCGTGCTACTGCCCACCTCATACAATGATGAGAGATAATGAAACGTACGACATGCCGGCTCAGACGTCGCCCGGCCAAACAAGGTCTGCATCAGGTGCTGGGGAACCAGGGCACCTTGATGAAAAATGGGCTACCCAAGGGTGTACGATCCTGATCCTGAAGGATCCCTCAAAGGGTGCAGTCCCATCCAACTATCGGCCAATAACCTGTCTCTCCACAACATGGAAGCTCATGTCAGGCATCATTGCTGCTAAGATAAGTGGGCACATGGATCAATACATGAGCATCGGCAAAAACACCAGGGGAGCCAAGCACCAACTCCTGGTTGACCGAACAGTCGCCCGTGACTGCAGAACCCGTAAGACCAACCTGTGCACTGCCTGGATTGATTACAAGAAAGCCTACGACTCAATGCCACACACATGGATCACTGAGTGCTTGAAGCTGTACAATATCAACAGGACTCTAAGGGCCTTCATTGCGGTTGTTGAAAACCACCCTTGAAGCCAATGGCAAGCCACTTGCACAAGTGCCCATCAAATGTGGCATATACCAAGGAGGCTCACTGTCCCCACCACTGTTCTGCATAGGTCTGAACCCCCTCAGCCAAATAATCGACCGCACTGGCTATAAATACCGACTCAGAAATGGGACCTCCTCTACATAGATGAAATCAAGCTGTACGCTAAGAGTGAGAGAGACATCGCTTCACTGATCCACACCACAAGGATCTACAGTACAGACATTGGGATGTCATTCGGGCTTGAGAAATGTAGCAGGATGGTGACAAAGAGAGGGAAGGTAGTCCACACAGAGGGGGTCTCACTCCCAGCAGACATTGAGGACAGTTACAAGTACCTTGGTATCCCACAAGCAAATGGCAACCTCGGAGAGGCAACAAGCGGCTACGGCCAAATACCTACAAAGAGTGAGGCAAGTCCTAAGAAGCCAGCTCAATGGCAAGAACAAGGCACAGGCAATCAACAGCTACGCCCTGCCAGTGATCAGATACCCTGCAGGAATTGTAAGCTGGCCAAAGGAGGAGATACAGACCACAGATGTTAAGACACGAAAGCTCCTGACCATGCATGGAGGGTTCCACACTAGTGAGTGAACCACTGTCCAGGATGAAACATCCAAGCTCCTTGAGTACATCAAGGACAAGGCCCCGGCAGATGAGGTGCTCAGAGAATGTCTCAGACAGTGGGGTCCAGAGGAAGAGGTGCTGGAGGGACCATCATGGCAGGACAAACCCCTACATGGGGCGTACCACCGGAACATAACTGAAGTGGCTGATATCAAGAAATCCTACCAATGGCTTGAGAGGGCTGGTCTGAAGGACAGCACAGAGGCACTGATCCTGGCTGCTCAGGAGCAGGCCCTGGGCACTCGAGCAATAGAGGCCCAGATCTACCACACCAGACAAGACCCACGGTGTAGACTGTGCAAAGAGGCTCCTGAGACAGTCCAGCACATAACTGCAGGGTGTAAGATGCTGGCAGGGAAAGCAGACATGGAGCGACATAACCAAGTGGCGGGCATAGTGTACAGAAACATCTGTGCAGAGTACGGGCTGGAGACCCCAGGATCAAGGTGGGAAACACCTCCAAAGGTTGTGGAGAATGACCGAGCCAAGATCCTGTGGGACTTCCAGATACAGACTGACAGAATGGTGATGGTGATGGCGAACCAACCAGACATAGTGGTGGTGGATAAGAAACAGAGCAGAGCCGTGGTGGTTGACATCGCAATACCAAGCGATGGTAATATCAGGAAAAAGGAACACGAGAAACTAGAGAAATACCAGGGGCTCAAGGAAGAGCTGGAGAGAGCCTGGAAAGTAAAGGCATCAGTGGTGCCTGTGGTGATCGGAGCACTCGGGGCTGTAACCCCCAAACTGGAAGAGTGGCTACAACAGATACCGGGAAAAACAACGGACATCTCAGTCCAGAAAAGTGCAGTACTATATATATATATATATATATATATATATATATATATATATATATATATATATATATATATATGTATATATATATATATATATATATATATATATATATATATATTATATATATATATATATATATATATATATATATATGTATGTGTATATATATATAATATATATATATATATATATATATATATACATTTCAGTTAGCCATTTTGGTTTTGTGTGTGCTAAATCTGTTGTGTTTGAGCAATTAAAAACATTGATTCAAGTTACAAAGCAGTTGTGTAGAATACTGTGTGTATTGCCTCTGAATCGCAAAAATCCTAGTTAATTAAATGTATCTGTATAGAAGAAAAGTAATCAAAGGGTTACAAAATATACAAATATGGAGAATGACAACACCCAGAGCTTTTAACCATGTTATAGTTGTTTCCCCTCTCCATTTACTCACCCCATGTTGTATTTGGAGTGATTCGTGCATGTTTGAGCAATCTATATTCAGTTATTTTCAAGACACCAAACTGCAGATCAGTCCCTGATCAATTTGATCCCTGATCAGTCATGTTCTTGGATTTAACAGAGTTGCGTAGTCCTTTTTTGGTACAAATAAAAAAAATTAAATCAGCTGTTTGCTAGTGTGATCTGCAGCTATCCATAAGAGATGCCGACTTTTTGTTGTGATTACGTTTACAGAAAATACTGAAGATCAGTGAACCAGTGCCAAAAATGCACCGAATGCCTTTTAATTGCTAGAAAATTCTTTATCAACTTAATAATAATAATCATAATAATGATAATCAATCAGTTTTATATAGCTTTTTTTTGACACTCAAAGATGTTTTACAGAGCATTATTCATTCATTCCTCTGTGGTGGTAAGTTACTATGCTGCAGCTGCTCGGGGGCAGACTGATGGAAGCAAGACTGCCATTCTGTGCCACACCACTTTCATACTAGGCAATGTGGTTGAAGTGCCTTGCCTAAGAACATAATGGCAGTTTTTGCCACTAGTGTCCCACTGTAGCAGCTGGAATTTGTTATTATTATCATTAGTTCAAATATCTCTTTGATTAGAATACAAAACTTTAGACCACTAATAAGAAAAAAAGTTTAAAGTTATGAAAGGGCCATGTTTTCTCCCAAACCATAATAAACATACATTTCAGTCTTATAGCAACTAATCACATAGTTATCCCCAAAATCTTTCACTCACACTAAACACTCATGGTAACTTCTTTTGAACATCATAATAATCTCCATGCCTCTGATTGCGTTTTCTTTTCCTCTTTCCGTGTCAAACTTCACACAGCGTTTTGCTCTTTCCATGAACGTGTGATTGTGAAAGAACGCCCTGAAGGAAGGATTAACTGGAGTGAATAGAGGACAAGTTTGCCCGCTATTACATCCCAATGAAGCCGCTTTAAGCTTCACTAAGCCGCAACTGATAACTTTGCAGGCCATTAGCGGGCGAGATTGCCTTTCAGAGTGTCTCATTTCGGCGGGCCCCCTCTCCCCCACAATCAACAACATAATGGGCAGACATGTGGAGGGGAAGTCATTCAAAGTGTGTTTGGAAAAAAACTCAAAGGCACAATACAAGGTTGTAAGTGAAAAAAATAATGTCTTTAAGTAATTTTCTGCAGATTCCAGGGGATTGTGTAAGACTATTCATTTTTACAAAGTCCATATTTTGTACAGTAAAATTATTAAAATTCATCTTACCACGCTCAGGTGTAGATATTGCCTTTGCTTTTGAGAGTCACCACAAAAAATGTGCCTTCCAGTTGCCTGACCAGCCAGTATCTTCCACATTCTGTTTGAATCCAAAAAGGGTTTGGAAGCAGATCACAGAGCGTGAAAAACCTCTGTCCAAATTTGAGACAGTCCAACCACATCCATTAATTTGTAGCACAAGTCTCTCAAATGCAAAAGACGTCTCCTCTCCAAATGTCTCGTGTCATTTAGAACTAAATTCTTTTAAATCTTTTACCTGAGATAAGTAATAGTTTGATTGTTGATTCTGAGAAAAAAATATGCATGTGTCTCTGATTGGTTAATCCACCTATCAATCACGCCCTCTGAAATTAGGGAGACAGGATATGGCTCCATATGCACTCGTCTTTGTAAAGTTTTGTCAAAGCGTGTGGTTCTGGCTGGTCAGGAAAGCCTTCCAGCACCTTTTAAATCTGATGCTCCTCCATCGCCAACCTCTGCATTTATCCAAGCATGTGGTCAGCCTTAAAGGTGCATTGTGTAAGTTTTTTGTTTTGTTTATTTGTTTTGTTTTGTAGTACTTTAATATCCCTGCAGAGAAATTGTCCTCTGCATTTCACCCATCTTTTGAGGAGCAGTGGGCAGCACCCGGAGAAGCTCCATGTGCTGCCTGTGAAATCCATGGAGATGTTATTGCTTTGTCTGGAATGTTCCACAGTATGGTATTAAACCTTTCTATCTTCATGGAGACCAAACTTGACCAAGTTACAGGTCAGATCTGTGGAGAGGCAACCCTGCTCACAGTCAGAATGCCTGTTTTCTGGCTATTTTTGCATTATAAATCCACCTGTAATTTAATAAATGTAAGGTGGAGCTGTGGACCTTTAAGCACAGTACAGTACATAGTACATTATGTTTGTATAAAAATCTTAATTGGTTTGGTATTGGAAATGCTTACTGCTTGTAGCTGTAATTGTTTTGGCAACAATATCTTATCCAGCTCAAATAATAATAAAAATAGTAATAAAAAAGTATATCATAAAAGTGACTAAAAGAAATGCCACCTAGTTTTTAAAAAGAGACCAGAAACTCACCAAAAAATGCTAAAAGGTCCTAAGATAAGGGAGCAGTGTCAGTATAACAAATATAAAACAATACATACAATACATTTATTTCCATAATAAAATAAATAAAATTAAGCAAATCTATTGGGGCCAATGCTAAAAATACAAAAAAAAAAAAAAAAAAAAAAAAAAAAAAAAGTGAAAAATGGGAAAGCCAGGAGGGGGTCCAAAGCAAAGTCGAGTCAAATAAAATCACTGCAAAAAGTGCTTGTGCAGTTTCACACTGTTACATTTGCATTCAGGGGAGCCTGCGTCTCCCAGAATGCTTTGCGATGTAAGGACACATTCCATAACTCTACTTTATACTAAATATGGTTAATCTGTCCAATTGAACGTTCTGTTTCTTGAACTTAGATGAGATGCTCTTAATAAGTCTCTACCCATATGTAACAGGCATCAGCTCTCAGCTCTCACCACTCTGAATCGCTGAATCCCGCTAATCACTCATCCAATTAGCACATTCTTACACTTAACACAGAGAATGGCACACTTTCTCAGTCTACTTACCTTTTATTCATTTGCCTTTTAACTAATACAAGAAGAGTCCGTCTAGACACTGGTACTCCAAAAATATCCCTTCTCAAACACAAAGACCCTGGCTTGATGAAAAGCTTTCAACGCCGCATTTGTCGCAGACTCAACTGGAGAAAAACAGGAGGCAGAGGAGACCGTCTGCTGTGGAAATAAAGAAAACACGTCTTTGACTTCACCTGCTCCTCTGGTCTGAGCGAGAATCAAACACAAACCGGCATCACTGAGTTTTCACTAACCACCAGCCACAACAGTCTGCAGGTTGTGTCTCTGTGTATTTAGAAGTCCACATCATCATTTGGTTGTGGGGCTGAATACATACATAAACAATTTATTGCAAAGAATCGATTACTGAGATTAGTCTGTGTATAGTGTATAGTCTGTGTGTACAGTGTATAGATCTTTACACAGATTCCAAAACATACAAATGTAATGAGAGTAGAGACTCAGACAGAACACTTACATGAATTACATGCGAATGACACAGGAAATGTGAAAACTGTGTTTTTTTTATTATAAACCTTTTGTCCTCAAGCGACATCATTAACATCATCATTGCACTTCACAAGTTTAACTGGTTACTAAACTAAGAGTTAGTTGCAGCCATGATAGACTGTATAATGAAGTGGACTAAGGGAGTCAAATGAAGCGTATTTGGAGTCTAGTTCCATATTAGAAATGTATTGATGTACAAAATAGCGAAATAAAAACACTAGGATCATGTAGAGCAAACGAACATTTTAAGACCAAAATGATGAGGCTCACTCCAGCAGTTACAGCGAGAGGGGAAACAATTTTTCAATGTAAACTCAATTGGAAGTCAATGGAGCCAGAAGCACACCCATCTTCACTTCCTATTTGGGACGTGGCAGCTAGCGGGTTAGTTATTTCCATTTATATATGCAGTCTATGGTTGCAGCTGTAGAAGGTTGTGTTGTTGACTGCCAAACTCAACAAAAACACGAGTGAATGTTTTACCAGTCTGCTCCCACGTGTGTGTAAATATGCCCCTGGAGGATGTGCAGCGGTGCCTGGGTTCCCTGCGGTTGTGTGTGAGACGCAGAGCCCAGTGTATGTGACAGTGTGGTGCCTCTGTCTCAGTGTGATCCACATCGACTGAGCCCAGGGACCACAAACCTCCAGCGGCGTACCTGCTCTCACAGATATCTGCCCCTCTGCCGAGCGCCCCTTAAGCCCCCGGCACAGAGCTGTACAGTATGTGCCATGAAACATCCACTCACTGTGAGGTAGATCAGCCTAGACAAGAGGAAACTGAAGTAACATAACTGACATGACAAATAAATATGGTTCACTTATGAGGGGAAACAATGCTGACAGTTTTTGTCATAACTTTCAAATCCACATTCACAAGTTTGTATTTCCGTGGCTACAGAGGAAGTGTATTTTTACTTACAGAATATAAACTGAGCTTAGCTGTTTTCTTGGTTCCAGTTCTGTGTGTTTACAAATTATACTTTGCACTGAATGATTTCGGAAAAGTATGTAATTCTGATATTTCTGGCAAGTATTGTGATTTTGATTGCATTTGTGATGAATATAGTCGAATTCTGTTCAAAGTGGTAAACTAATAAAGAATTCCAAGGATTTCAGATTGCTTGTCGCAGTCTAAACTCCAGGGTTTGCAGGCTTTATACATAATAAGAAGGAATATTCTGTTGTTTGAAGGGAAAATTATTATTGTAGTGTTTGCAATTAGTTAATTGTGACTATTCAAATTGTGATTTTGTTTTGATTACGATTAATCTTGCAGCCCTTCTTAGCACTTAGCATTACTATGTAAATTTATTCCAGTCAATTTATTTGGTAAATCACTATACAAGTCTGTTTTTGGATCTGGTCAATGGCAGTTTCCCATTTCCTCCATTCCTGCCCCTTCTTATCTACCCCTGTGCTTTCTCCTTTCAGGGGGAGAGGTAGCGACCCCACGCTTCACCCAGTATTTCCATGGCAGCCTGTCAGGTCTGACAATCCGACCAGGCCGCATTGAGACGCAGAAGGTTATCTCCTGTCTACAGGCCTGCAAAGAGGGCCTGGATATCAACTCCCTGGAAAGTCTGGCTAAGGACATCAAGGTGTGGAATATTAGTCAGGTTTGAATAAATGCGACTGCAAGTGCAACTAAAATATATGCATTTAATCCTGTTTTGGGCGTAGTTTCACTTTAATCCTGCTCAGTCGGTGCTGGTGGTGGAAGGAGAGGATTTGGACAGCATCAACACAGCCATGACCAAAGTGTCCTACATCAACTCAAGACAGTTCCCCACTCCGGGCATCCGAAAACTGCACATCACCACCACAGTGCAGTAAGTTACACATATTTAAACTGTACATAGTGCTGCAATCATGTTTTCACTATCTTTTATTCATTTTCTCAGTTATTTACTACCCTACATGAGTTTACTTCACAAAACTATTACAGATTATTGAAACAGACACCCCGCATCTTAATGTTACCAACAGACTAGGACAAATCATTGTGTCTGAGTCAACATACAGTCTATATTTATTCAGTCCTTGAGGTTATGTTTCTTTCATTTTAAATAAAAACACGTCAACTAGCTTCCCTGTTGTAAACAAGGTCAAGGGTGGTCATCTGGGAGTCTTGTTAAATGCAAGGATATTCTGTCTTGTTCACGATCTATACTGGATTTACTTATTCATAAAGAACCTTAACTCTGTACTGACAGATTACTTTTTAATTTTCAAGGCATAACAAAAAACACATTTAGACAAGTGGATGAATTCATGCATTTGAACTTTGAACCTTTTTAACCATATACAATTTCTACAAAATCACTGGACTCAACAAATATTTGTGTGTTGCACTATATGTAACATTTCTTTCTTCTGTGTTTAGGTGCTTTGGTGAAGACTCTTGCCTGTCCATCCCCGACGTGAAGGCCGTCGTCATGGTGATGGCTCCCAGTGAACCGCGGATCACCATCTCCGGCTCAAACCGCCTCGTGCGACCGGCCAGTGACCTGCGGGCGCCGCTCGGGGTGGCCCTCTTCAAAGAGATCCACCTCACCAGCACCGTGATCAGAGGGGACAGCCTGGGCGGGAGTGAGTCAAGGCCCTGAAACCTCTAAAGAGTGTTTTCATGTTTAATCAGCCTCACTGAAACTAGAATTGCATCTCATGTTTTAAAAAATTGGTGCTGACTGAACTTTTTTTCTGACCATAGAACAGATATACATTTTAGTGAAGACACCACAAGTAAAGCTAATTTTAGACATTGTTCAAGCAACACATTCAAATATAAGTATCACTACATTTAATAACTGTAAATATATGGGAACTATTTATATGAGAACTCTTTACTTCTAAGATTGTTTCCTGAAAACATTGTATTTTTCTCAGATTTAAATCTATTCTAAAAATACATCCTACAAGCACCAACTTCTCCAGTCTTGTATTCAGTCATATATTTTGAAGGTTTTTTTATTGAAGGCTCATTTCCAACCAGATGCTATTTATTTTACTAAATTTCATTCTGTAAATTACTAATATGTGAACTAACTAAATCAATTAACTCTAATCTTAATTGTTTTTGACATGAAATTCCTAACACTACTTTGTCCTTGTATTTAGGTCAGTTACAGTCCATACACCATTAAAGCTCCTATATTATGCAAAATTTACTCTTGTGAGCTTTAAGTCATGTCATAATGCTGTTACCTCATCAAAACATTAACATTATTTTCCATTTCAGAGAACTCAACCGAGATACCAATATGTAGGTTTTGTGTATTAAACATTTGTGCATGGAAAACAGTTTTATAACACAGATCAGAAAATAGCATAATATGGGCCCTTTCAGTTTTTGTCCACAGATGTTTATCGTGGTTGTGAATCATGTGTATTCTGTATTGTTCTAATGATAAATCTGGTTTCATTGTGTCCACACAGTGCACAGACCAGGTGTGACCGAGCTCATGCATAACCTGGACTACTGCGACGTGCTGCTAATTGGTGACGAATTAAACCCCGAAAGAGAGAGTCTAGAGATACATCACAGCGCCTTGTTAGGAAAACACCTGGATGCCACCAACTCCACCTCGGGGATATCAATATACGGTAGGAACGCGTCACCTGCCCACCTGCCTCAGTGACAGGCGAACAGTCAGTGTGGCACCTGGCCTTTACACAGAAATCAATAGGCTTAACCAGGACGCTCCGTCTCTATAGACCCAGACAGCTGTAAAGGTCCTGTCAAAACTTGTACAACTTATAACTTACAGAATGAATGGGTTTCTTGTTTTTTTGCAGGTGTGGATTCAATGGCACATTACGAGCAGGCGCTAAGACAGATCAAGTACAGAAACTGGAGACCGGCCACTCTGAGTGAGAGGAAGTTCAGAGTCACCTGCTCCGAGCTCAATGGACGATACACCAGCAATGAGTTCAACCTGGAGGTGAGCTTATATTTACGTTTTTGATGGTTTTCAGATTCTGTAATGTGATGATGTCTTACTTTCAGATAAGAGTCAAGAGACAATTTTCCCTATTGAACCAGATTATTTCTATTAATGACAAGAACTAGAGCTAGAACTTGCTATATTACAAGAAAAAATCTGCATTTTATAGTGACCATATAACGATATTTTCTGATCTACAGTATTATGATATTGGTTCATCATCAAAAACATACCCACAGTTGTGTTTTGTTTCATTCACACACAAACCTCGCATAATTAGTCTGTGTTTTTCTCTCCCCCTGTCCCCCTTTGTGATGTCATATGGTAATACATAATGCTCCACTGTGTTTTTAAACTCCATGCGTGTTCACTACATTCATTTAGATAATTTTCAACCCTGGAATTGCCCATTTCTACTGAACTAAAAGTAAATGGTTGCTGTTTACTTGAAATCTACTGCTACATGACATCACAAGGTGGAACAGAGCATTTTTGGCTTTGGAGATGTAGATGTAGATGTAGAAGGAGATATTCATTTTAGCAGCCCCCCATCTGTACTAAATGTTATTGGCCAATACAGTAGATACAAGACAGTAAATGTTCTCTGTAACTGTAAAACCCATGCTTGGGATTTTGTGCTACAGTTCCTATTTCGATGCCAGTGTTGTGTTATTGTTTGTCAGTTGATCCCTTTTGGCAAGAAAAGGCAGCATAAGCTTGGAACTTTGGTAAAATATTAAAAAAAAAAAAAAAAAAAAAAAAACTTAACTTGATGTGGGCTCAGAAATGTAGTAAAGGATTTAGTTTCTTTGGTTTCTGAAACAGAAACTCTGCAGTCACCTGGGTCAGTGGCGTAATTATTAAATAAAAACAGATAACTGGATAACTGCTCTTTTGGGGCTGCTCAGACTGTGGGATTGTCATGGTTTTTCAGAGTGCTTAATTTTATGGAGATAAAATTAAAATCCTGTCATTTAAATTCTACAAATCTAATCGCATCTGAATTAAATAAATCCTATTAATTTCCGCAAAGTGAATGCATTAGTCTCACTTTAGTTCTATTTTTCTGCCTATTTTCATTTTCAATTTGAGTTTACTTTTTTAAAACAATACATTTTCAGGAGCCTGTGATCATTCATGGTCTCGTTCAGGAGCTTGATTTCCAACAAAAAAGAGAGAGTGACTAACTGAAAAACTGTTGCAAGCTTGTGGCTAATGTTATTGGAGAAGGACAGCACAAATCAGCTCACTTGTAGTTCCAACTAATTCAGCTCTTTCTGGTCAGACTGTGTTAAAACAAAGCTCAGATTAAAGGCCAGTTTGAGTCACAGATCAGATCGATTAGTACCTTCAGTTAGCATCACACACCCCCCGTGTTGATGACATCAGCTCTGAAGTATCAGTCCTTTTGGATATGCATACACCCATGTCTCATATAGGACATTCATGTGCACACAGATGAGTCTGCTGCACCACTCTGCTGCCCCCGTGGAGCATGTAAACCACATGGCTGCCTCGTCCCAGTTTTTGAGACCAGTGCATCACCCACTGATGATCCACTCTCTCAACTCACACATGACAGGTACCTCAAATGTCATTCAATACACCACACTGACCACCAAAAGGTCATTTCATCAACCTTACCCTTATCTTCTCGACCTCATCTCACACAGGGCCAGCCCCTCCGGCGGCCACAGTGATTATAGTGGTTTGTATCGCCGCCCTGGTGGTGATTGTGGTCATTGGCGTGTACAGAATTCATGCCACTCATCAGGAGGGCTCCAGAGAGGACGAGGATGAGCCCAAAGACTGTGACATGGACTGGGACAACTCTGGCCTCACCATCACTGTCAACCCCATGGAGGTAAATACAGAAAAGATAAAAGAAGCTCCAGAGTTTAACATCATCAGTTGTTAAAGGTGCTCTATGTAACATTTCTACTGGGGTCACTTGCTTGTCTCCATGGAGATATTGCTTTGTCTTGAATATTCCAAAGTAAAATTATCTCTATAGCTTAAAACATACCAATGTAAACATGTGAATGGTAGTGGAGCATTCTTGTGTACAAAAGTCCTTTATTAACGACCAGCCCTAAAATTATCCATCTTGCATTTACTCAATTTCAGGAGTTTTATCACTTGAAAATACTGCATGTATTTTTACTGTGAGCATGGTCAACTGTACATAGATCTGACCTATACTTTGATTTGGCGACGTCCCCTCCTTGTCTCTATTAAGATTGATCATTTAATTGCCATACTGTGGAACATTCCATGCGAAACAGTAACATCTCCATGGAGACAAGCAGGTAGTGGACCCTCTAGTGTAAACGTTATGTAGAGCACCTTGAATAAAATATGACTGTTTGACTTTAATATAAACTGTCCTTTCTAGAACATCAGTGGAGCTCAGGCAGTTGCTGAAGAGGCGAAGGAAGAGAGTGAGGAAGAGGAGGAGCAGGTGGGGGGGCTGACCTGCACTGACTCAGACAACACTGACGAGGAGGACGAAGAGGAGACAAACCGGGTCACAAAACTGGAGTGGGACAGTTGCTCTGGGACCTACTGAGCACAACCACAACCATACACAATCTGTTGCTGGAAAAGATGCAGAACATGTACACCTAGAACTTCTGATGCAAGGTCTCCCTCTGTTGGACAAACTCAGAACATCAGCCACATTTGAATTCACACTAAAACAGCCAAAAGAGAACGAGCACAGTCACTGCATTGACACAACATACACCCTCTCTGTTCTTACATAGTTTGTATAAATATCCATAATATTATTTAACACCAAATGTTTCAGAGGATTCATTTGTGTTTTATGTCAGTTATTCATTTTCAGACATACATTAAAGCTGCAGTGTGTAACACTTTTGATGGTGGGTCCATTGTCTACGTGTCTCTATGAACATTTCTTGCATTGCCTGGAATGTTCAGCAATATGGCATTAAACTTATCAGTCTTTTCATTTATTCAACTGTGCTACCAGTCAAAAGTTTGGACACACCCTCTCATTCATTGTCATGTTTTTATGTTTAGTTTTTTCTACTTTCTACATTTTACATACATACAGAAGACATCAAATATATGAAGCAAGAGATGAGGAATTATGTAGTAAAGAAAAAAAAAAGAAATAATAAAGCAAAGGGTGGCTGTACTTTGAGGATTTGAATATTAAAAAAAGTTACCTTTTGACTGGTAGTGTACACATTATTTGTCAAACACCTTGAAAAAATATGCATTCTTACTGGGAGCAGGGTTGACTTTCCACAGATCTGACCTTTATTTTAGCTCGGAGGTGTCACCTGCTTGTCTCCCATGAGATCTGTTATATTTAATACCATAACATGGAACATTCCTGGCATAGCCATAACAAGCATATTTTGGATCCTTCAGAAATGTTACACAGTGCATCTTTAAGATTGGAGTCTTTGTCTTAATGCACAAACTACTGTCCCCTTACTTGTTTGGACAACACATATAGAAGGAGGTATAATATTCATTCATTAAATGTCAGTGTGTCTTCATGTTGTGTGTTATTGGCCAGTGAAGGTTTTCACAATGAGAACTAAACTGGACAAATATATGCTTGCATCTTTTAGTCAAAGTACCATGCATTTCTAATGTTTGTCAGACATTATATGCATCCATGTCTTATTAATGTATCTAACCACATTGTAGCAACGTTTTAGCATTTACTGTTGTTGTCTTTCTTTCTCTCAGTAACAGAAGTCCCCTATGCAAATTTGGTTTCCATTTCAGTAAACATCAAAATCTTTTTGTTTGAGGAGATGAACAGTCTCAATTGCAGAAGGTCCTTAATGTTTAAATATACATGAAAGTATCCTAACCCAAATCAAAACTGTTTATTGAAGAAATATATCAGATACCAAAATATGCCAAATTTAATGGGCAATGTTTTCTCTGAATGTAAATTTTAGTGAAGGCTCTGGCCTGTCCTTTTGAAGAGCTTGAGCTCATTTGTGATTAGACTAAATGCCTCTAAATGTGTCCCGTTAAAGAGCTCTATTAGCTTGTTCCCTCTGTCCCTGTTTGACTGTCCCTCTCTGTCGGCCTTTAAGCACCTGTGATTGTGATGTCATCATTGTGAGACAACTGCCTTGTTTTTTCGTCTCCTTTGTGTATCGTGCTTCAACAGATTAAATGATAAAGACGATTCTTTTACATATAAAATAAACCCTGTACAAATGTTATTTTATATTTATAAATATTGGGTTCTTTTTTTCTTTTTGTAAACAAAATGGTTGGGATTCCTCTGTATATTGACCAATAAAGACTTGTTTTAGACTCTACATGTGCAGTGTGTGTTTGCTTTTTAAAAATAAACTCTTCAGGGATCAATGTTGAAGACATAAACAGAACTTTTCAAAAAAATGATGAAACCGTTTGCAAGACATACATCAAACCTTGAAAGTTTTCACTGCTATTTTGACACAGTGAAATCTTAATTACAGCAGACTGGGTAAGTAATACATCCAGTCTGCAGCTGAGAATTCTTCAGAAGACAATGATAACAAATGGGGCTGTCCACCTTTAATGAGATGTTGTTTAACTGTGATCCTGCTATGACGTCCCAAGACAAGTCTGGTTTCATGTTTATGCTTTAGATCAACACATATTTCTCTTTCTTTAAAAGCCTGTGTTGGTCTGGAGCCAACTGTACACACTGTTGTGATAAATTATCTGTTCTTTTTCCGGCTCCTGCTCTCACTGATTATTCATTTCTTCACTGAACATTTCCCCAGAGACAGAAATACAATGAACTAATTAGATCTCTAATGCACCTTTAATCAGGAAGAGCACATGTCCAGTGATGTATGTGCATATGGATTCAGGCCAGACTCTATACTGTGTCCTGAAGGACAGAGGTACCACACTGACCTCTGAGTGGGAGATAAAAGTTGCAGTAAAATTAAAAAAAATATTTGGGAGTTTCTGATGCATTAATATCTGATCTTTCTTAGAGGCCTGTTTTATCACACTATGGCAATAAAAAAACAAAAAACAAAAACAATAATACATAATACACAGGCTCCTGCTCCCTCATGGCTTGATTTGACAGAGTTACTCCAGGATGTGAGAAGTGTGTCGCTGACTGCTGTTGTCCAAATGGGCTCTGTCATCTCACATCTGCTCAGGTTTGTTAAGTGCTAATACTTTATAATGTAGAGAAATTTAAACAAATTAAAACTAGTAATTATAAATGTTTGGGACTTTAACTGAATGTACTAAATAAATCAGTGCAAAGACGTGCACCAGTAAGACTGATCCATTGGTCAGCACAATGTCTAAAAGTGAGTTCTGACTTTTTGCTAAACTCAACAACTCCTAGTCCAATCAGTCCAGTTAAGATCTGTGCCAGACCTTTGACTTTAAATCTACCCTTATTTATCTCATACATGTAAAGAGTCCATTAGTGAGTGACATTTGTAGTTGAGAGTAAAATTACAGTTTTCTTTTACCCCATTTGTAACTGAACTAAAGGCCGTTCATCTTTCCTCAGTCGACTGGACAGGCTTCTCATTAACAAAGGACTGTAAATTGTGTTGGGTATTGAACAAACCAGGCTCAAATTTATGACGTATGTCTGAGATTCAATTGGGTTTGTATATCACGTTAGCACACTGTAAATGGGGTGTTCGCACTGGGCTTTTAAATTACAAATCTGTACCACTACATCAGGGGGAACATTACTCCTGTGCAATGTATGGTATTGCCCTGACTATAATGGCTCTCCTAAATGACTCTTCTGGGCATTCAATGTGAAAAACAGAATAAATAAATGTAAGAGAAATAAATAAATAAATAAATGTAACTGAAATGTTGGACTCTAAAAGCTCACTGGCTCCACCTATCAGAAAAAAAGGAATATTTTATGTGAAGTATGTATGACACTACTTCTAATACTACTACTACTACTGCTGCTACGGCTACTGCTAGTACTGTTACTACTGCTACTGCCATTACTACTGCCATTACTACAGCTACTGCTACTGCTACTACTACCACCACCATTACTACTACTACCACTACTACCATTACTACTGCTGCTGCTGCTGCTGCTGCTGCCGCTGATGATGATGATGATAATAAAAAACACCCATAGTTGATCTGACAGTGTCTTTAATTCAAAATAGACTATAGACATGGATAAGACTTTTTACACTGCCAACTGCATAAATAACAATAACATTCAGTAAAACTTGACATCTCGTCACTCAGGCGCCGTGTCAGCCATAATAAAATAGGAAGTCAAATAAAAAGTTAAATAATAAATAATAAAATTCATAAATCATCGTCAAAGAAGCGTTGTAACAGACAGTCTGAATGCATGTGGAGGCAACGGACTTTATACCTGCCTCCAAATATTCACTTCAGCCAAGAACAAGTTTGGCATGCGTAAATTACCATTCCCTGCAGCTCTTGAATGCAGCACAGAGCTATTTGGTCCTGTCCCGTTAGGTTAGGGTGCAGTTCTCAGCTCCAACACAAGATGGCGGTGTCTGTCTAACCATTTTCTCTTCATGTTGTTTTGAGACTATGGTTTCTTTTCTGAGCACGAGTGGGACAGTTTCATTAACAATTTATTGAAGTCCAAACAGCCCAAGTTAAAGCAGCTATGGATTGCAAGGGAGCTGGTGCCATCTTGAAGTTTCATAGGCCAAACCCGATCTGTCAGTTGATACCATATTTCATTTAAAGGCCTTGTTTTGAGGGTTTGTGTGCTCTTGAGTTCAGGCTACAGTCCATCCATCACATCCTCACATTTTGTCCTTGTCTGCAGCCTGTCCAGTAGCGCCCCCCTGGTGTCCATCACTGGTATTGGAGGTAATTCTTAAGGGACTGTGGCAAAGGGAGAGTTTCGATTTCCTGAAGGCGTTCACGACCCAAAGCGAGGCGGGCAGCTCTACGACACAGGTCCATCAGAGGCAGGGGTTCGGCTGTGGAAAAAAAAACGAAAGAGATCAGATCAATTGTCGTGATTGTGCCTAGACAGAAAGATGCCGCTTTATTCACACCTCTCATTTGACACCTGTTTAGACACTTGACAATCCATCTCCAGGCACCATCTGTCAGCCTGGTTATATGAGCTCATTTTCAGAGGTGCTTAATGACAATGTCTGCCTCCTCTAGGTTTTGTAAGCATCTATTTAGAGCTTTTCCCTGCATTAGTTCAAAGTCAGGCCCTTCGCTGACCTTCATCTTATATTGAGGGTAAGGAGGAGGTAATGGATACAGCTCAATGTAGCCTGAGGAGCTGGACACACCCACCGCTGAGAGGGCACGATGAGACAGGGATAACAAGAGCAGGAGAACAGAGTAAGAAGGGTGGACTAGAAAACAACGTTTAAAGATGCACTATGTAACTTTTCAAGTGGAGGGTATGCCACCTGCTTGTCTCAATGTTGAAGTATTTGCTTTGCCTACAATGTTCGACACTAATGGCATTAATCGAAACAGTTAGAGGCCTATAAAACATATACTATTATCCATTTATTAGAGCAGAAAGGAAAGTTTGGCATGAACATGATACATTTATAATTTTAATTCTATTCATCAAATTTTTGCTCTTCAGCACAAAACTTATAATTCAAAAATTCTTTGGCAAGCTACTTGGAAGGAGGTGGCGAGTTACACAGTAT